CACAAGGCATCATCCAGTTTCTTTGACCAGTCCTTTCGTGATGAGTTAACTGTGACTTCCAGAATGCGCTTCAATTGCCTATTGGATACTTCGACCTGTCCGCTGGTTTGGGGATGATATGCGGTGGCTATGCGGTGCTTGACGCCATATTTTGATAACAATTGCTCGAACTGACGATTGCAGAAATGTGTGCCCCCGTCACTGATTATGGCTCTAGGTGTCCCAAACCGGGTGAAAATATTCTTCTTCACAAACTCAATCACGACTTTCCCATCATTTGTAGGCAATGCAACCGCTTCAACCCATTTCGAGACATAGTCCACCGCCACTATAATGTATTGATTTGAGAAGGATGGTGGGAATGGCCCCATGAAATCAATCCCCCAGACGTCAAATAATTCCACCTCCAAGATATTACTCAACGGCATCTCATTTCTTCTAGAGATGTTACCCGTGCGCTGACATCGATCACACCTCTTTACAAATTCAAATGCGTCCTTAAAGAGTGTGGGCCAGTAAAAACCTGATTGGAGAATCTTCGCCGCTGTCTTAGAAGCACCAAAATGCCCTGCATATATAGATGAGTGACAGTTCTCTAATATCAAAGGCACCTCTTCCTCTGGCATACAACGTCGAACGATTTGATCAGCCCCCGCCTGTAGAGAATGGGGTCTTCCCAAAAGTAATACTTTAATTTCACGAAGAATTTCTTCTTCTGGTGACTTGAGTAATCTGGCGGTATGATAGCCCTGGCTAAATAGTTAACTATATCTGCATACCAGGGTGCTTCTATCACACCAAAGATCTGCTCATCTGGGAAGATCTCGTTTATTTCCACTGTCTCTTCCTGTTCTGTGTCTTCAAGCCGAGATAAGTGGTCCGCTACCACATTTTCACTGCCTTTCTTATCCTTGATTTTCAGGTCAAACTCCTGAAGTAGCAATATCCAACGGATGAGGTGTGGTTTAGCATCCTTCTTCTCCATCAAGTATCTGATGGCGGCATGATCTGTGTAAACTATGACCTTCGACCCCACAAGGTATGATCGAAATTTGTCAAATGCATAGACTACAGCAAGAAGCTCTTTCTTCGTAGTGGCATAATTTAACTGAGCATCGTTCAAAGTCTTACCTGCATAGTAGATCACGTGAAATACTTTATTCCTACATTGACCCAACACGGCTCCCACAGCATAATCACTGGCGTCACACATTAATTCAAATGGCAGATTCCAATCCGGTGTGATAATTACAGGCGCTGAAGTCAACTTCTCTTTCAAAGTATTAAAGGCCTGCAGACACTCATCAGTAAACTCAAATGTGGACTCTTTCATCAGTAAACAGCACAGAGATTTGGTAATTTTTGAAAAATCCTTGATAAACCTTCTGTAGAATCCAGCGTGCCCAAGAAAACTGCGAACGCCCTTCACTGAGGTAGGTGGTGGTAACTTCTCGATTACCTGAATCTTTGTCCTGTCCACTTCGATACCCTTTGCTGAAATTTTGTGCCCTAGTACGATACCTTCTTGCACCATAAAGTGACATTTCTCCCAATTCAACACCAAGTTGGTCTCCGTACACCGTTGTAGCACAAGACTTAGATGCTCCAAGCACTCATCAAATGAAGATCCAAACACAGAGAAGTCATCCATGAATACCTCGATGTATTTCTCAATCATGTCTGAAAAAATAGCCATCATGCAGCGCTGAAATGTAGCGGGAGCGTTGCATAATCCAAATGGCATCCTTCTGTATGCAAAGGTGCCGTAGGGGCACGTGAAAGTGGTCTTCTCCTGATCGTCTGGAGCCACTGGAATCTGATTATACCCGGAGTACCCATCTAGGAAACAGTAGTGCGAATGCCCTGCTAATCTCTCCAACATCTGATCGATGAACGGTAATGGAAAATGATCCTTTCGAGTAGCTGAGTTAAGCTTACGGTAGTCAATGCACACTCTCCATCCAGTCACCGTCCGTGTAGGAATCAACTCATTTCTCTCATTTTCTATCACCGTGATTCCTCCTTTCTTGGGAACAACTTGCACTGCATTGATCCATGCACTATCTGATATTGGATAAATAATGCCCGCATCTAGCAACTTCAATACTTCAGCTCTAACCACTTCCTTCATGTGTGGATTCAATCTCCGCTGCCCATCAATGCTTGGTTTAAATTTTTCCTCCATGAGTATCTTATGCATGCATTTGGATGGGCTAATCTCCTTTATATCTGCAATAGACCATCCAATAGCTGTTTTATTCTCCCTTAACACCCGAAGTAGTTTCTCTTCCTCTACCTCACTGACAGTGCTTGAAATAATAACAGGTAGTGTAGAAGATTTTCCCAGGTACACATATCGAAGATGTGGTGGCAGTTGTTTGAGTTCCAATTTGGGTGGTTTCACAATAGATGGCACAGATTTTGCAGTTCTAGTTCCCAGCTCTTCATAGTAGCGTCTACGCATATATGGCTGGTTACTCTCCAAAAACCTAGCACATGTCTCGATCTCACTTGATTCAGAGTGGGTAGATTGTGAATGTGCAATGCATGCCTCATATGCATCAGAAGGCTGATATAGCCGAAATGTGTCTTGAACTATTCGGTCGACTACATTGATCTGGAAACAACTGTCTGCCTCAGTAGGAAATTTCATTGCTTTGAACACGTTGAATGAGATTTACTCGTCACCAAGCCTTAATATCAGCTGTCCCTTTTGAACATCTACAATTGCTCTCCCAGTGGCTAAGAAAGGTCGCCCCAAAATGAGTGGGACATCTTTATCTTCTTCCATGTCCAAGATAAGAAAATCAGCCGGAAATATGAACTTCTCCACTTTTACCAGCACGTCTTCAATGATTCCTCTTGGATGTGTAAGGGATCGATCTGCTAACTGCAATGTCACTATTGTGGCTTTTGCTTCTCCCAGGCCGAGTTTCCTGAAAACAGAAAGAGGCATTAGATTAATACTTGCACCCAAATCACACAAAGCTTTATCAAAATAACAGTCTCCAATAGTGCAGGGTACAGTAAAACTCCCTGGATCTTTCAATTTTGGGGGTAGCTTTCTCTGGATTCTGGCGCTGCATTCCTCAGTCAACATTACTGTTTCGTGTTCTTCCATCTTTCGCTTGTTGGAGAGGATATCCTTCAAGAATTTTGCATAGCTCGGCATCTGGACAAGTGCTTCAGCAAATGGGATGTTGATATGTAGTTTCTTGAAGACTTCAAGGAACTTACTGTATTGCTGATCCATTTTGTGCTTTCTCAACCTTTTTGGAAATGGAATAGGAGGCTCATGAGGATTAACAAGATTAGTATTTTTACCCTGTAATGTCTTGGAGTTCCTCTTAACCTCTTCTTCTGTTGCATTGTCAGTTTGCTCCACACTTCCTTCTTCCAAGATTGGCATTGCTCCCTTGTTGGCTCCCGAACTTGTTACGTGTGGTTCCGGCAGTTGTACTCCACTTCTGGTTGTTATAGCCTTTGCATGTTCCTTAGGGTTAACTTCAGTATTGCTGGGTAGGTTTCCCGGTGCTCTACCTGTTATGGAAATTGCTATCTGTCCCACTTGTGTCTCCAAATTCTTGATCGCTGCACTTTGATCTTGAAGCGTTGTTTCCGTCCTTCGCATAAATTGATTATTGGCTTCCATGTATTGATTGGTGTGTGTCATAAATTTTTCGAACATGTCCTCCAAATTTGGCTTTTTGTCTTGCTGCTGATATTGCCCTTGTGGTCTATTTTAATTCTGGTTGCTCCAAGAGAAATTTGGGTATTTTCTCCAGCCTTGATTGAAAGTTTCTGAGTGTGGGTTATTCTGCTGGCGCTGACCCCATTGTGCATATTCTGCATGTTCTACTCCTTGTGCCAGAATTGGGCAAGTAGCAGTATTGTGATCTGCTCCACATTCTTCACAACTCTGCTTCACAACTTGCTTAGCAGTGACGGTTTGTGAAATGCTTTCAACCTTATGGAATAAGGAATCTATTTTCGCCGACAGTGCTGAGTAAGTATCTACTTCATACACCCCAGGTGCTCTCTTCTGAACTACTCGATCTGTAGACCACATAGCTGAAGTTGTAGCCATCCTTTCAAACAACTCCCAGGCCCCGTCAATTGTTCTTGTAGAGATAGACCCGTCAGATGATGCATCCACCATACTTTTGAATGATGGGAGTAATCCAG